AACATAAATCATGAATTACACATCGGGTCAAACAGCCTCTTTACCCCTTGACCGTACAGCACTCTAATGAAGATCGTCACAGACGAACTGACCGTGCAACGGTCCGGAGGAGAGTCTTCGTGATGGCGCGAAATTACAAATGTTGGTAACATGATATACATAAGTCTAACCGGCACAGAGCAATCGAGCAACCGCGCGAACTTACAGGGCAGGGACATTCGCGGTTCTTCTTTCGCTGTGAACGGTGATGCCTCGTTATTGTTGTCGCGAAAACAGTCCTCGAGCTATCTGGTGGTGTTGGGCACGGTGTTTCGTCCCGGAAATATCGAACTTAGACGAGGCGGAGCAGGACCGCTTTAGTTACGTGGTGTGGGGGGCCCTGAGGCCCGAAGACCGGAGGTGGGCGCAGGAGGCGTCCCGAAACATTCGGTACGAGAGTGATCCCGCCGCAGCGTTGAGAACGCTCGTGGGTGTACTTGAAGCGTTGGGCCGATCGTCGGCGAGCGGAAACACCACCCCTGGGTGGACCAGCTACCCCCGATAGGTGAGAGAAAATTGCGATATTTTTAACGTAGGGAGAGAGTTAACTAGAACTGTCGAACCTCGAGAGGGTACAATAATTGTATGGGACGTCTGAAGACTTGGCCTGATGCTGTTTTGACTAAACAAGACCTCCGACGACCGTCGGTACCCTGCCCGCCGAAAACCTCCTGGACTACGCAGAGCGGCCAGAAAGCACGGGAGGCGTCGGCTGAGTGCAGCAGACATACGTCGCCCGGCTGAATAGGCCGGCTGTCCTCATTTTTCCGGTAGTGCGCGGACCTGAGATACTGGAGGTAGTCATTGTGGAATTGTTTCCAGAAGCCGCGCAGAGCTGCCTGCTGATTTTTCCAGCGCTCTGAGAACACTATCGCGTTCGCCGACCGCACTGTGTCTGCTACCCGCTTCATGTCCGGTAGAGCCGGCTGAGAGGCATACCCGTACAACAGGTCCGACGGAGACAGTGCTCGCGGTTCGCTAGGGTCGACAACGACCGCCGAAATAGGTCGATCATTGACCATTTTCTCAATTTCCATCAGTACGGTTCCCAGTTCTCTGAGTGATAAGCAGCGCGATCCCAGAATTTTGCGCAGGGGTCTTTTGACCACCTGAACTAGTCGTTCCCAAAAGGCTCCGGTCCAGGGGGCCTTTTCCGTGGAGTGGGTCCACACCAACTTTTTCCTGGACAAGAGATCCTGGGTGGCCGGGTGCTTACGATGCTCGAAAATTGCATCAAGCTCCTTTTCGGCCCGGAGGAAGGTGCGCGCGTTATCCGACACGAGCCGGGAGACCGATGGGTTGCGGCTTATGAAGCGACGTAGCGCTAAAAGAAACTCGTACGAGCTGAGGTCCGCCACCAGTTCCAATCTTAGAGCTCGAGTCACCGCGCAGGTGAACAGGAGGATATACGCCTTTATCTTCGAGCCATCTGTTGTCTTTATGTAGAGAGGACCCGCATGGTCCACTCCTGTTACGAGAAAGGGAGGACATTGATCCACTCGAAAATGTGGAGGGGGGGCATCGGTTCCTGTGCCGCCTTCGCCTTGAACCGGACGCAGACTTTACAGCCATGAGTGGCCTTGTTAGCAATCCGCCTAGCCCCGGTTACGAAGAATCTAGATCGAAGGTGGTGCAATACAGCAGCGACGCCGCCCGAATGTAGGCAGGGACCTTCGTGAATGTGCCTGACCAGTAATTGTAATAGGAAGTCATTTCCTGGCAAGAGGATCGGGAACTTGACTTGGTAGTCGATGTGCGTCGCTTTCTCCAAACGAGTGCGACATTTTAAAGAACCGTCTTCGTCGACGAACGGTGCGAGATTGGTGAGCGCGTTCGATTTCGCTGCTGACATCCCACCCGACTCCAATTCTGCCCGGAAATGGCTTAATTGGATGTGTCTCAGAAGAGACGACTCCGCGTCCGCGAATTCCTGCGAGGAGATCGTGAGACCTGTTTTTGTTTGTCCCGCGCGCGAGACAGCCATCTTTTGATGTACGCCGTCACTCGAATCGTCTTCCCCCACGAAGAGAATTGTTTGCGAAACAGATCCGAGACCGGATCCACTGTCACAAGCGCCGCGGTACAGATCTCCGCTCTCTTCTCTCTGAGCATGTCCGGGGTCTCGCGGTCGACACTCGCGTTGAGCGAATGTGCCGGCGGACTCGACTGAATGGAAAGCCATGACGGCCCGGGGAGCCAGAAACGGCGCAGCTCCGGGGTGCCCAGTGGAGATCCCCTGCTCAATAAATCTGCCGGATTGTCTTCCGACCGCACATAGCTGAAGAAGCTCGAGTGGGCGATAGATCGAATTTCACGAATTCGGTTGGCCACGAACGGTTTCCAGCGTTCCGGCGAATCTCTCAACCAACCCAACACCGAGGAATTGTCGGAATAAAGATACACTTTAGAGACACCCTCG